ATAATCTAACACAAAATAGACTCGAGCCTGCACATCTACACTATAAGAGAAAGCTTTTAGTGAAAATTTAAAGTCTCTAGTAATTGTAATTGCTGAGATCTCGACCGGACAGCCAGCCAGCCATAACGAACATAATTGCGCTACAAACGGTAAGAAGTCCGGTGTATAAAATGTTTGTTTTGCAAGTTGAAATAGAAAATCCACGATTCATCTACATATACAAATTATTTGTTGATTTTAATGCAATGGCTGGTTCTATCTATATCAGTTTATATTATTGAAATATGTTTGTTTTTGTTGACAGTGCAAACTTTTAGAACAATCCAATACTCTAATAAAATATACAGGCTGCTTCACACAAACCTTACCTTTAAAAATATTTCAGGCGCTTATTAGTTTAAATGTGAAAATGTGCATATGAACATAGTTTTTCATGATCTATAGAAAGAAAATATTATCATTATCGTTTCACTTCCGGTTTTATCGGATGTGGATAGCAACTTTCTTATTTTAAATAGAACATCCTGTATTTAAAGCATTTTTAAAGCAAATCTACCCGAACCTCTACCTCGCTTGATAGCACATTTCGCTATACCCGGCATCGAAGGTTTTAAAGTTATCAAAGATGTTTGACATTTGACTGCTTTTCTTTTGGGGCCTGTACCTATGATTCCGTTGGACTTGAATTTCAAAATCAACGATATTCATTTGAGGCTGTGAGAATAATTTAAATTTTGGTTGTTCCTCTACGACTTAAAACCTTAAACATTTGATTTTTTCAAATAAAATATGCTTTATTTTTTACACTCGAAAATAATTCGACATCGATCGATTATTACATTCCCTATTTATCATCCTTTCCGACTTATTTTAGATTTTTTGAAACTTTGACCGTTATGAGTTTATTTTTAACAAGCACAAGAGTGTTCATTGTACCATTGACTAATGGGGGTGGGGGGTGGGGTATTAGTCAATGATTGTATCGTTCTTGGAGACTGGAGAAAACTAATGGTTTCAACTTGACTGAGCGCTGGTTTATTCTACTCATGATGTCCAGATGTAACGCCACTGGACTGGTCATAATATAGAAAGCAAAGTTTATTTCACACTAGTTGCTTCTCGTGAAGAACTGGAAGTTAGGGTGAGAAGAGCTTTTGATAAAATAGATACAGCAGAAATTCGAGAGGCGACTACCAACGTCATTCCCTCAATTGCCGTTTGTTTTTTTTTTAATTTTGTCGTAAAATAAATCTGATAGCATAACAGATAGGAAATTTAATAATTGATCGATGTCGAATTTTTTTTGACATTTGAAAGCGCAA